TCCCATCTTATTCCTAAATAAGATAGCAACCAAGATTAAAAAGCTACATACCTCCCTCACAGTTTGCCCACAAGGAAATTCCTTGTGAGCCTCCAGATGTTCACTCTCAAACAACTCTGTTGAATTTCACCCTAGCAATGTAAACTGATAGCTTATCTTCACAGGTGAGGGACAGAAAGTCATCCCTCTGCTCACCTGACACAAATGCATTTCTGATTGCTTCCTCTGCCCTATTGTTTATGTAAAAATGCAGATTCACTGAGCCAGACTATTCAGTGAAAGGTCAATCAAGGACTCAAAAGAATGCAACCTTTTGTCTCTTATCTACTTATTACCTGAAAGCCCCTTGCTTCAAGTTGTCCTGCCTTTCCAGTTTGAACCAATGTACATCTTACACATGTTGACTGATGTCTCACGTCTCCCTAAAATGTATAAAAGCAAGCTGTACCCTAACCACTTTGCACACGTTGCACACGTGTCATCAGAAACTCGTGAGACTATGTCATGGATGTGTTCTTAACCTTGGCAAAATAAACTTTCTAAATTGGTTGAGACCTGTCTCGGGTATTTTGGGTTCACAATCAGCTAGACTTTCTGCATCGAGAATTTCTGGGTTTTTATAAATATGTTCCCTCTTCATGATTTCATTAACCAATATGATCTCTAGACTACAAACTAAGAGAGAGGGAGAGAGTATTTACAAATGTACTTGCTGAAGTGTGGCCATCAAATGTTAGTAGTAGCAAACAACTAAAGACAGACCTCGCTTGACCAGTGAGGAAAGGGAAAGTAGAGACCAATCCAGAAATAAAATTGGACTGATCTGAACAAAGGAACCTCTCAAAACATTCAAAGGGAAAGAGTAGTTCTGCAATGAAAGACTGCAAACAATCAGTGATCAAAGTTTCAAAACAAAGGACCATGTTCATGAGTACATAACGTAGTTTGCTTATATATGCATTTCACTGCAGTGTTAACAACAGCAACATCACCAAACATGAAAGACAATGGTATTTATAGAATACTGTTTATTTAACACATGTAAACCGAGGCTGCCATGAGGATCACAACTTTATTTAAAATGAGGCTCACATCCTCAAAGTGTAATGGCATTTCTGATGACACTAAGGTCTAAGAATTAAAGACCTAAGTAGGTCTAAGAATTAAAGCAATGAATCCAACATGTTAATGCTACAGTAGAATGTGGTGAAAACCAGAGAAATTAAATAATTTGTAAAGAGCTTCAGAAAAAATTTCCAAGCTGAAACTAGAACTCGTGTTTCCCAACTCCCAGCCTAATGTTCTTACACTACAGTTACAGTGTTTCTGTCTCAGTTTGAGTGCTATTTATGTTGCTTTCAACATACTTTTTAATAAAACAAACTTACTTAATTTTAAATGAAATTAAACTTAATTTATACCGTAAAAAACAAGTTTTTGCCATTTTCTCATTAGCACTCAATAAAATAGATCAAAAAAATAGGCAATAATTTAATGTATACTATGATGCATTCTTTTTTTTTCTTTTTTTAAAGACAAGGTGTCACTCTCACTCTGTCCCTCAGGCTGGATGGAATACATTGGTACCATCATGGCTCACTGTAGCCTCAACCTCCCAAGCTAAAGCAATCCTCCCACCTCAGCTTCCTAAGTAGCTAGGACCACAGGTGTGCATCACCACACCCAGCAAATGTTTTTCCTTTTAATTTTTGGTAGAAATGTGGTCTATGTTGCACAGGCTAGTCTTGAACTCCTGGGCTGAAGTGATCCTCCTAAGTATTGGGATTATAGGCGTGAGCCACTGTGCCTGGCCAATGATGCATTCTCTTTTCTTATTTTGAGACAGGATCTCACCCTGTCACCCAGGCTGAGTGTAGTAGTGCAATTATGGCTCACTGTAGCCTCGACCTTCCTGGCTCGAGTGATCCTCCCACCTCAGCCTCCTGAGTAGCTGGGACCACAGGTGCATGCCACCAAGTCTGGCTAATTTTTGTATTTTTTGTACAGACAGGGTTTCATCATGTTGCCCAGGTTGATCTCGAACTCCTGAACTCAAGCAATCTGCCCACCTTGGTCTCTCTCAAAGTGCTAGGATTACTACAGGTGTGAGCCACCATGCCCAGTCCAATGATGCATTCTTAACAGGATTCTTCCCTCATAAAACCAATTATCAGCAGAAAAACTTCCAGCCAAACAAGTTAACATACGGTAAAACACAGAAATGTGCAGGTACTTTAACTTTCTATTAAGTCAAAAATTATTAAGGAAATACAAAATAACTTTAACTCCAGATACATAAACTCTCTGAGCCTTAATATCCTTAGCTATGAAATGAGAAAGATGGATTTTAATGCAAAAGTTCTTAATTAGGGATCTAGTCCATGTTTGGACTCTCTACAGAAACTATTTGCAAATTCTTTATATATGTAGGTATGGGCATCAGATTATCCGGAAGTTTATTACTGCTTAAATACACTGTTTTGTTCTGGATTTCTAAACTTCTTTGTACTGAGCACCTTACACATGTTTGATGAAAATCCAGAGGAGAAAAAAGTGTGAACCCATAGGGAATTAATAAGCTGGTATGGAAGACAGACTTTTTCCAAAAATTGGCATTAATGAAGTGCTTGGAAACCCCAAAGCCAAATCAATGCACTACTCCTAGGAGAATCGGGTTTGGTGATCCTCCTAGGAGTATCCTGTTACTAGTGGAGGTGACATTTAAAATAGGGCTTGTTTAAATGACATCATACAAGGGCCTGTAGGGCGATTTCTGTTTGACAAGAATGTGGAGTCATCATCTTGGGGACAGGAAACTTATAAAATAATTCTGGCATCAACATAGACAGACACTGTATAGACAAAAGAATTATTCCACCCTCCAATGACCCATTCTTACCAAGATCTCTGGCTGCACTTATTAATGTTGACTGCATCTTCTTTTCCAAGTCATTCATTATTTCTCTTAATTCACTGAGATTAGGATCAAATGAAGGTTTTACAAGGAATTCGTGGTTTTCTACCTGCAAACAGAACAAAGTGAAAAAATCCTATAAATAATCGGTAAAGACAGAAATTATAAAGCAAATATTTCCTCCCACTTAAATTTTACTGTTTTCAGTTAAATAATTTGCTATCCATAAGTTATTCAGTCACAACTATTAAGGAGTTTCTATTTACTGAGATGGAAAATTCTGTTCATTAGGACTTCAGAGTTCTGTATGTATAAAAACGATTCATATGAAACAGATACAGTGCTGATATGTCCCTAATAGTATTCTACATTTTATTTATATTTTTCCTAAACATTTAAAATGTTCTCCCTAAAAATTACTAAGTAATGTTCAATGTGCAAAACTTGTAATAGTTGTATGGTGCCCAAACCAAGGATATACCCTAGAAATCTCAAAAAGCTCTAAGAAACGAAAGAATTTTCTTAAAAGTTAATCAAAATCTCACAATTTAAAAACATACTCATAAGTACTTTGTTTCACTAAATTCTTACCAGTAATAACAGCAAGAAACCACAACGAAAAATAGATCTCATTTACAATAGCAAAAACTACATAAAATATTCAGAAACAAAGTCTTGATTATATAGGACCTTTATAAAGATAATTGCCTATTCGAAGATTTAAAAGAAGAATATAAATGTTAAATTCAACTGATTAAAAAACTGCAGGAATTGGACCGGCGCCACAGCTCATGCCTGTAATCCCAGCACTTTGGGAGGCCAAGGCAGGTGGATCACTTGAGGTCAGGAGTTTGAGACCAGCCTGGTCAACATGGTGAAACCCCATCTCTACTACAAATACAAAATGAGCTGGGCGTAGCAGTGTGCACCTGTAGTCCCAGCTACTTGGGAGGCTGAGGCAGGAGAATCACTCAAACATGGGAGGCGGAGATTGCAGTGAGCCAAGATCGTGCCACTCTACTCCAGCCTGGGTGACAGAGTGTGACTCAGTTAAAGAAAGACAGAAAGACAGACAGAAAGAAAGAAAGAGGTAAACTATGAAAAGAGAAAACTAGATCTAATATTAATAAGCTATGTATTTCCACAGATTGTCCGATAGGAATTTTTTTGAAACAATACAACTAAAATTTACATGAAATTGTGAAAGAACATCTAAAAAAAGAATGAAGTGTATCCTTACTAGGCATTACAATTAAGCAGACAATTATGTATGGAAGCTTAATATAACAGAGTGAGTCCGTTCTCTTGATTTAAATTATTCAATAAATGAGGTTGAGATAAACTGTTCCTAATTACTATCCACTTAGAGAGTACACTTTCACATACCAGAAGCAAACTATGCAAGGAATAAGGAATTAAAATCAAATTACAGAAAGCTAACAAAAAAGAGAATATACACAAAATAACTTTCTCAATTTAAACCAACAAAAAGAAATTCAACATAATATTAAAATTTAAAATTTTGGCCAGGCTCGGTGGCTCACGCCTGTAATCCCAGCACTTTGGGAGGCCAAGGCGGGCAGATCACAAGGTCAGGAGATCAACACCATCCTGCCTTACACGGTGAAACCCTATCTCTACTAAAAATACAAAAACTTAGTCAGGCGTGGCAGCGGGCCTATAATCCCAGCTACTAGGGAGGCTGAGGCAGGAGAATCTCTTGAACCTGGGAAGCAGAGGCTGCAGTGAGCCGAGATTGCGCCACTGCACTCCAGCCTGGGTGACAGAGTGAGACTTCACCCAAAAAAAAAAAAAAAAAAAATCAAATTAAATTTAAAAGTACATAAAATCCAGTTATAGGCTTTATTTTGCTTAAACTTGTGGTTAAAAAAACCTCACAAAAAAATGAAAAAATATACACCATATTAAAAAGTGTTTTAAAAAGTACTCTGACATAGCTCTCTTACAATGAGACAAAATGTAAGGCAAAAAAGCATTATTAATTAAGGGTAGAGTCCCTAAAGAATGATGAAGATTCAATTCACCAGAAAAAACAACAGCTCTGTGCCTCACATATTAACCAAAAACAGACCTAGATGGAGAAACCCACATCTTTCTCAGTAACCCAGCAGATCAAAAATTAGCGAGCATATATAGACAATGAAATGAAAAAACAATCCCAAAAGTAGAGTACACATCCAAATTTTAAATACATGGGGAACTTTTATGAAATGGATACACACCAAGCTTGGAAATTTAAAAATATACTTCTAAATAATTAACAAACCAAAGAACAAATGATAATAGAAATAAAATACTTGGAGTTGAGTAAGAAATTATACCTCTCTAAACTCACACTTGTAATCCTACAACTTTGGGAAACCAAGACAGGAGGATTGCTTGAGCCCAGGAGTTCAAGGCCAGCCTGGTCAACATAGCAAAAACCCTGTCTCTACTAAAAAATAAAAAAATTAGCCAGGTGTGGTGGCACACGCCTATAATCTCAGGTACTCAGGAGGCTGAGGTGGGAGGATCACTGGAGCCCAGGAATTCAAGGCCTGCAATGAGCTATGATCAAACCACTGCACTCCAGTCTCGGCAACAGAGCAGGATCCTGCTAATCAATCAATAAATTAATAATTAATGTGGTATGTCCATCAGGGAATACCATTCAGCTATATGAGGAGATATGATCTGGATATGTGCCCCCACCCAAATGTCACATTGAATTGGAACTGGAATCCCCAGTGTTGGAGGTGGAGCCTGGTGAGAGGTGACTGGATCATGAGGGTGGTTTCCCCTGGGTACTCTTCTCATGATAGTGACTGACTTGTCCTGAGATCTAGTTGTTTAAAAGTGTGTAGCACCTCCCCCTTCTCTCTCTTGCTCCTGCCCATCATGCAAGACGTGCACTACAAGAGAACTACTCTTGATCACCATAGACTCTTAAATCACTGGAGATGGCACCTTGATTTGGGTATGCAAAACAAACCTTACTAAAACAACCTTTACCTTCCATTAGTTTGCCCCACATATTTACCTTCCCACAATTTACCACCCCTCGAAGCTCAAACCTCTTTTCTTCAATCTTGTTGGCTCTCCACAGTTTATTATCTGATATGGTTTGGCTGTGTCTCCACCCAAATCTCATCTTGAGTTGTAGCTCCCATAATCCCCATGTGACATGGGAGGGACCCGGTGGGAGGTAATTGAATCATGGCAGCAGGTTTTTTATTTTTATCATCTCTACAAATAATTTAAAAATCAGCCAGGTGTGGTGGTGCACATCTATGGTTCCAACTACTTGGGAGGCTGAAGTGGGAGGATCACTTGAGCCCAGATTCAAGGCTGCAGTGAACCATGATCGCATTACTGCACTCCAGCCTGGGTGACAGAATAAAACTCTGTCTCATTTTTTAAAAAGGGTGTGGGGGCAGGGACGCAGTGGCTTACGCATGCAATCCCAGCACTTTGGGAGGCTGAGGTGGGCTGATCACCTGAGG